TTACATGGTTATCAGTTAATATTATAACATGACTTGGATCAAATCTATGCAGCATTATTTCATTAAATCAGTTCTCAATTTTTCTAAAAAATAAAATTAAAGAACTCTCCATAATAGATACATTTTCTGTGTTGATTGGACTTCATTTTTATCTTAGTTTGTACAGTGGTCCATTTAATATAAAGTTGAGTAAGGGTCTGTAATGCAAGCACACTTTTTTTAAAGAATTAATAGAAGAAGAAAAAACAGATCAAGTCCCCTGCTTCCCCTATAGCAGCACTGCATCCCCTGATTAACTGTGCCCTGACAAAGATCTAGAAAAATCTYAATAAAGATAAAAAATAACTAGTCTGATAGATAACTTTTACAATATTCCAAGTGGTCTGTAGATATGGTATGGTTTAGACAGTGTACATAACAAGGTATGTTTGAGAGACAGCTGTCAAGTTCAGCAAATAATGTTTAATCCAAAGAGATAAGTTCCAGATATGGTAAACTTTAAAAAGCTTTCAAGTATTGCCTCATCTTTTTATTAATTTCATTTAAACTTTTTTTTAATATTTAGGATATTTTTGTGAGGTGATTTTTTTTTCTACTAACCCTTTAATTTAGTTATATTATTTCAATGTACATGTATCTTCAGGGCAAATTGACATCTTTATCAAAACCTCATCAAACTTCAAGTCAATGAGATATTTATTAATGCTGAGACAATAAGAAAAGGTGTTTATAGATGTTGTTTTGCTATGATTTACTGCTTTAAATTGAAAACCAATCTCAAATGAATGTCRGACAGCAGAAGTCTTTGAAGTTAAAAGTAATTTCTTTTTGTCAATATGAAAATTAATAAAAACTGCTTTGAGAAGTCATACGCTTTTATTATTTTTATGACTTCTATAATCTAAATTAGACAAGAGATAACCTACATTTTTAATTGAAAACAGCTGGTTCTATACTAACRGTTTTATTAGACTTGAAAGGCAGACCGTTGCTGGTTAAGGTGGCTCAACCTTGTTTTATCGAGATTGTGCTACTGCTTTTATGAACTGAATGCTCAATTAGGTGTAATATACCAATATGAATTATCAGGAGTGCATTTTTTATTGGGCTCACCACAGAGTCATTTGTTCAGTTTCTTTGGCAAATATCAGATGAATGGTTACCATAGCAACATCATGCCACTCACAACAAAAAATCCTTCTTGGTATTATTCAATATTTGGTATGAAAATTAAAAGTTTGCCTTTTTYTGTGGCGAATCTTCTTTATTTTATTTATTTTATTGACTGTGAATTTTCTCTTGGTTCATACAATTAATAAATGTCACATGTCACACTGGCAGCTGTATTAGTTGTATTTTTGATAGGCGTGACATTACCTGTAATTGGAAGAAGTCCTACATTAGTTCTTGAAAAATTGGAATTATTAGAAGAGTAATGCTTAAAAATATTGATGAAAATGGCTTACTACCATTGCGCATCTTATTCTTCTCAAACAGTGCATTAATGTTATAATTGTGTAATAAAAGTTATTGACACCGTAAAAAAAAGTAGGTGAAATAACTTACTGACGTTTCAGACATTAATCCTTCGTCAGAGTAAAGAGATGAAACTAGGTTAAGTGAGTTTATACATTTAATAAGAGTAGCAAAGAAAGTAGACCAATAGGAGCAAGGTAGGCCCACTCTAGTTTACCGCTAGTTCCCACCATTTTGATTAATGTTATTGCTTAACCAATAAGAGAGTGAATTGTCTGAACCCAGGTGTAAGAAATGTAGGTCTGGTATGATCATCTGGAAGTGAGAAGTCTTGACCAATAAAGTAGTTGAAACAAGGGCATAGATTATACTATCTGAATAGTTATCTGCAGAATCTGGATGTTTAGTTTTGACTATGAAGTTTTGAGGAACATCCAGTTTCCAAGTGCTCTATCATAGCATAATGCTTGAGATTCCAACTCAGAGTTCATGCTACTCCATGGAAACCTTGAAAAGTCCTGGAATTGAAAACTCATTTTCAAGGGTGCTTGAAAAGCCCTTGAAAATACGGAATACCGCTAAAACTTCTAGAAAACTATATAGGTACATGTATCTATATAAGTACATGTATGTGTTTCTCATTTGTATTACATAATAATAATAATATACAGTAAGAATATCACAAGTAAAGATGCTGCAGAGCGTACAATAATAAAGGTTGTGCATGTGACTAAGTTGGGATAACCTTATAATTGGTATAATTGGTTTATTAGCTCATGCATTATTAATAAGCAAATTGAAGTTCTATAGATAAAAAAGATTTATTAACCTGTACAACTGTATTATTATTAAAATACACCCATACAATACACTGTAAAGCTTCTTCAAGGCACTTACCTGTGTATATTATATCTACTATCTATAATGATAAAATTTTTAAGAATTTTTCCATTATTTGAAAAAATAATTGCTAATGACACTAATTATATTTTCAGTTACCAAGGGCAACTGCCAGGATCTTGCTGAGCCACTTTAAGTGGGACAGAGAAAAGTTGCTGGAAAGGTTAGTTAAGGTTTTTAATAATAAGTACTAAAGGTTACAAATCAATCATACACATAAGTAAATCTATACTGCACATGTATAAGTTCCTCATTGATACCTCTTGTGCTGATATGTCAATCAAGGTTGACTATTAGGTCATGTGATTGAATTTGTGCATGCTAGGTGGACAGTATATTCCGGAGCAACACTGATGTTTTATTCATCACAGTTATGATCTAATTATTCACCAGTGTTTTATCAGATTCAACACAGATCCCATGTAAATCTAATTCAAAACTGATGAATAAAACAGCAGCTGTGTATAAACAGGTCAATCACCTAACAGACAATCTTATTGGAAATGGCTCATAAACAGCCTACATGTACTTTTGGTGTTCAGGTTGAATGACCCTTCAAAATAGAACTAAAGTCAAGGATCCGGGGAATCAAAAATATTATAATTTATTGTTTTTCCTGAACCTCCTATTCAGTGCTTTTGTGACTAAAATTTCTTTTTTTGCAACAATTTTTCAAACTTGCACTTTATATATTCACAAGCTTATAATATTTTAATTCCTATTCTTCAATGTGTTTTCTTTTAGTTATTGTTATCCTTCTTTGAGTACCTTTTAAGAGATATGAATTGTTTGCTTTAGATACTACAGTGGAAATCAGGAAAGCTTGTTTACAGAAGCACATATTGTCTTTCCAAGTAAGACCAGTCATTCATCTAGGGTAAGTACATCAGCTGTACGTTTTATATCTTTGGATTCAGTCAAACAATCTGACCTACTGCACAAGCAAATAAGAAAATATCAAAGCTACTAGGGACATTTTTCACTCTGAATTATTACTTTACAGGCTAACACAAGATCACAACCATCTGAGTTACTGTGTGAAATATGTCTATCACTTATCCCTGCCTCAGTGAGTATTATGTATGGTTGTACATGTCTGATAGTTGTACATGTCTAATAGTTGTACATATCTGCTAGTTGTACATGTCTGCTAGTTGTACATGTCTGATAGTTGTACATGTCTGATAGTTGTAAATGTCTGATAGGTGACTGTACATGTCTGATAGTTGTACATGTCTGATAGTTGTACATGTCTGATAGTTGTACATGTCTTATAGTTGTACATGTCTTATAGTTGTACATGTCTTATAGTTGTGCATGTCTAATAGTTGTATGCATGTAGTTTTACAATAATGTCCTTTCTGTCTTACAGACCTTTACTGGATTAGAATGTAGTCATAAGTTTTGTCCAAGATGTTGGAAAGAATACTTAACAACAAAAATTATAGATGAGCATATGGGTGAGGTATGGATTTAACAAATATTTTACATTTACTTAAAACATCAGGGGGCAGATACAGTATGAAGGATGAATAGCACTATCCAGCAGATAAAGCCTTATCCAGCAGATAAAATCCATATAAATCTATTGAGGTGATTACCTCATTCACTTAGAATAATTGTCTCCAGGGGTTATTCCCATTCCTTGCTTGATCCAGGAACATCCATGATGAACTACATATTAAACAGGAAGTCATTTTTTTAAATACAGGAAACTCCATTCATCATGTAAAAACTTTTGAATGTATCACTGCAGACTAATTGTTGAACTAGTATACCAGTGATACACCTACCTTACAGAGGCATGGTATAATCCCTCCAGACTTTATTCTCAGATATTTCTTTTCCACTCCTGTCTCTCTCCAATATTCCACTATTTGTGGATAGTATTCTAGCTTGATTACACGTCTTGTTTGCTGTCCCTGCAAACCCACATGGGATACATGTATCCTAATCCCCATGCATACTCACCCTGCTGTACATCCATGAAGTTTGACATATACCACATTTTTCGTGAATATCTAAAAAATCTTTTTTTTATTTTTAGAATATTTCTTGCCCTGCTAGTAAATGTGATATTCTAGTAGATGAAGCATTTGTAGGGTGAGTACTTCAAGTCAGTGTATTATTGGAGTAAAAGTTTTAATAAGCTAACATGGTATTAACTGTGTGTATGTTTCAGACAAATAGTGAGAGACCCTAAAGTAAAAACMCAATATCACCATGTCATTGCTAACAGCTTTGTTGTGGTAGGTACAAATACACCATTATATGATATCAAGAACATACTAGTCTCTAACAAAATAGTCAATATTTTGTGACTAACTACATGTAGTTATTATCAATGKACCAGAAAACACTTGACACAAAGCAAGATTTGGTTTTAAATCATGCAGTAGCTACATGTCCCCTCTGCATGCTAATATTCTTCAACCTTCATGTTTGTTTGTTTCTTGTTTTGTTTTCTTTTTCAAAAACGCAAAAATTATTATACATGTAATCATACATGTACTTGCTCCAGTATTGTGGCATTAAGTGTCCTTGGAGTTAAGTATTATGAGTAAGGTATATTTTTTTCTAATCAAAAAGCAAATGGGAAGTACTTTCTGAGTAAGTTTTACCATATACAGTACTTTGTGTTTTTGTAGAATAATCGTCTAATGAAGTGGTGCCCAGGACCAGACTGTCACAATGCTATCAAGGCTAACTACCATGATGCTTTGCCAGTTACTTGTTTGTGTGGATATACTTTTTGGTAAGATTGTAAAACTTTTTCCTGTTCTAAAAGTACATTGAATCATGCAGTGATTGGCAAAGAAATTTCAATTCTATCACTTTTAATAAGGGAGGTATCAATTCCACACGTCTCACCCTAGATCTACTCTGCTTTCCTCTTCCATATTGAAAAATATCAGTTTACATGAATCAATATTTCATGGCACATTTCATGTCCAGAACTCTTCCTAAAACCAGGAAGGAATAGGAATAGGAATAGTGAGAAGGATTTAGCCTCTCCTACCCATCTCCCATGTTTCTTTTATTCTTAAAAAGTGATATCTTTCTTTCAGTTTTGGTTGCTCAGAGCCAGTTCATGAACCTGTTAAATGTTTGGTAAGTTGTAGGTTTAGGGACTGGTTGACAGTAGTTAACAGTTTCTATGATATACATACTGTGCCATAGTTCATTGTCCTGCTCCAGCTGTGAATCAATCTGGGATGACTGTGTCACCCAAAGACATAGTACATATARCACAGTAACAACACTATTTTGACATGTGATGGTACTTGTTTTGAGTGTTTGAATAAGTGCATCAATCACGTAATCAAATCGACGTTGATKTTTTATATTGGAAAGTCTTCAATCTGCGACTTCAATGTTCAAAACAAATCATTAGGATTTAGGTTTTTCTGCAACTTTGGGGCAGAGCTTGCTGCAAATCAGCCAATGTCTGAACGAGTTTACAAAAAGCTCCGCCCCTTAGATCGAAGAAAAGAACAAAATCGAAACAAACTTCGAAGTTATTAAAGAAGTTGCGTTGCAATGATTTTCGCTGTAATAAACCAGATCAGCAAATAGTAGAGTCTATAAGAATTWATTGAAATGTTTAGATATAATGTTTATGTAGTATTGTGGCTGATCTTCGTTSTTGTTTGCAGTGGTTGAAAAAGTGGATAAAAAAGACCAATGATGATAGTGAAACATCCAATTGGATCTCAGCCAATACAAAAGAATGTCCCAAATGTAATGTTACAATAGAAAAAAATGGAGGCTGTAATCACATGGTCTGTAGGAATAACAATTGTAAGGTATGTTGACTTCATTTATTTTATAGGATATATTGTTATGAACATTGTTAAATGTAAACACGAAAAGCATGAAAAAGTGCCCTAAAAAGCATGGATTAGACAATATGAATTCGTATAATTCCGTACAATTTAGTGTATTCCATGTTTTTAGTATTTGTAAAATTGTTTTTTAGCTTTTGTCGATTACTGTCATGTATACTGTTTTTTATAGTTTTTGAAAAATATTTATTATATATTTATTCTTTTCAAGTATTTTAATTAAAATCAGTTAAATTTGTATTTTACTATTATTATATGTAATAGGACTCCATGCTGTCCAATTAAGAAATAATTGGACGAGGAAAATTCCGAGGACTGCCAAAAATTGGACGAGGCCGTGTCCGAGTCCAATTTGGCAGTCAGAGGAATTTTTTGAGTCTAATTATTTCTTAATTGGACAGCATGGAGTCTTATTACCTATTAATTATATAGCCACATATTGATCCCAAATAGGTAAAAGCCAACCACAGCTTTTAACAAAAACCCAATTGAAAACCTGTCCAATTAATTTCTTAATTGGACAGGATTCCAAAATTAACGAAAAATCCAGCTTTTACCTATTTGGGATTAATATGTGGCTATATAATTATTGATTAAAGTACTTCAATGAGGTGTTTTGTTTTTCAGGCTGATTTCTGTTGGGTGTGTCTAGGCCCATGGGAGCCCCATGGTTCTAGTTGGTAAGTTAATCCTTCTTCAACTTATGCAAAACTAGAAATGACCAGCATTAGACTAGTATTACATGCCATGGTTGTAGGCAGACGTTGTGCCGTTAAATTCGTCTTTTAATAGAAGAGCATCCAGTAATACTATTCTAGTATTACATGCCATGGTTGTTGGCAGAAGTTGTGCCGTTAAATTCGACTTTTAATAGAAGAGCATCCAGTAATACTATTCTGTTTTAGGTACAGCTGTAATCGTTATGATGAAAAGGAAGCACAGAGTGCAAGGGACTCACAATCAGTAAGTACCGCCTTGTAGAGGCCTTTTTTTTTCTCGTTTTTTTTTTAACTGCCTGTCAATCCCTGTACAGTATTCTTAAAACAGACGATTTTGATAACCTAAAGGTACTTTTCCTGTACACTGCAATTTTCCTCAACAACTTGTCTTGTGATAAAACCCTTGCACGAAACGCCAAAGCAGCTTCATCTGGAKGACAAAACAAAAGATTTTTGCCCTCTTGGGAACTAGAATCCATTGTTTTGTCCTCCAGTTGTAGTTGCATTTCCACGAACTGTAAGGGATCTGTAGTTTTTGGCCGAGGTAAGCTGGTAGCCAGAATCAAGATGGCCGACATTCTAAATGAGAAATTGGGCATCCTCTAATAGCGTACTTGTCTTGGAGATTGCTAGTAAAGTTGCTGGAAGGTTGATACACAGGGCATGTKTGTAGATGTACTGTTTTCTGTCATAAATAAAGATTGTCAACTTAATTTATTGTTCAACAAGTTGTAAATAATCTTTTTCAGCGTTCAAGAGCAGCCCTAGAAAGATATCTCTTCTACTGCAACAGATACATGAACCACGCACAGAGCGCTAAGTTTGAAAGCAAACTGTATGCACAGGTCAARCAAAAAATGGAAGAAATGCAACAACATAACATGTCATGGATAGAGGTATACATTGCAATTCTTCGCTTTCACGTAACGTCACAGCGGGCATGTTGGAGGAACTTGAACAAAGGATTTCTAATTAGTATCTATTGTTCATTCCCACAACATGGCCGCCGGTCTTTTAACTTTTGAATCTCATGGGAATGGTTGAAAAACGATCAATAGTATCCTTCCCTGCGCCATCTTGATAGGTAACCATGCCTTTGCTTGCATTGAAGCGAGACGACCGTTGAGCGTGCAATGATAGATACCTTGTTTCCCACCTAGAGACAATTATTCACAGGTATCTATCATTGGACGCTCAAAGGTCGCCTCGCTTTAACTTCAACTTTTCAAGATGGCACAGGAGAGTGTGAAGAACAAACCTAGAGCTTTCTTCTCAAGTTTTCTGTCATTGAAGCASGGAGACAACTTGCTGAAACTGTACAGTGTCAATAAACAGAGTATAGTTTTGATGTAATGCTGCAATGACAACACTATAGTAAGACCTCGTTAATCCGGTCACCGAAGTGGCCGTATATTAATACGGATGGCCGTTTTAATCGTCGAGAAATGGATAAAATCTGGCCGATAAACATGGTGGCCGTTAGTCGGGGCTCCACTGTATTTGTTGCACAGTTTTATGTAATTCAGTTGTATTTTAGTGCAATAGTCTTCTTCGCGGTCCCATGCGCCATCTTGGAAGGTATCCGTGCCTTTAGATCGAAACGAAACGACCGTTGAGCGTGCAATGATAGAAACCTTCTTTTACACCGACAGGCAATAATTATTCACAGGTATATATCATTGCACGCTCAACGGTTGTCTCTACCTTTCACGATGGCGCACCTTACCGTGAAGGAGACTATTTTAGACCTTCAACTACTACTATCAAAGAGTACATAYCTAACCACGATGGTATGATTTTAGGTTCAGTTTTTAAGGAAAGCTGTTGATGTGCTGTGCCAGTGCCGTAATACTCTTAAATACACCTACGTCTTTGCATTCTATTTAAAAAAGAACAACCAATCAGTCATATTTGAGGTGAGTAA